GAATGCCGAAATTATTAGTGTTTTTATCACTCTGATGTTATGTCTGTATCATGGCTGGCCCAAAGCCATGCTTGCTTGCTGGGATTCATTTATCATGTTGGTTTTAACTTCAGAAATGATAGCATTTATTTGGAGTTTTTGGAGATTAGTGATTATCAACTGGTTTAAATGAGTCAATAACTTAATTGAAAGTAAAATGTGACCGAAGATGAGCAGATTATTCCTGAAGGGACATACTCATTCCTTGATTGCCTTCATGAAGTTATGTAGATGCAGTTAAGATCAGAAATTACAAATGAGAATTTGGAAGCTCTGTTCAAAGTCTTTTCACAGCTCTGATCACATTACTAAGAGAATTTCACAATTGCATCTCCCCAACAAAATGTGTCAGTGGGACGTTCAGAGTAGTTGTGCAGATATAACCTAATCCTTGTACCCCTCCTCTGGGAAACTAATTGATCAAGCTTTTCCTTCTGATGGCAGAAACAGAGGTAAAGTAAAAGAGTCCCTCATAACAAATCACTGCTAAAGCTGCACTCTTGGCATTCGTGTCTGTCCTTCTCCTTCCTTAATCCACAGAAGTATTCCAGCTTTCGCTTCATCTGGTGCAGTCAGAACAAACCTTTCCTGCCAGCTGCCCTGCAGTGTTATAGTTAGAGAGACAATGGTGCATTAATATAGCTGCAGTAGGAAAAATAAACAATCCATTTAGTTTGATGTGTTTACACTGGTTTATGTTTGCTTCTTCTGGAGAAGGTCCAAGTAGAGGGGACCCAGGGTGATACGCTCCCTGTGGTGGTTTTCTTGTAGTACTGTAGTATGACAGTGCTCCGTGGTGCTGCAAGCTTGAACCTGGATAGGAATAGCAGAGAATGGGAGATGAGGTATTCCCTCAAGAACACATTGTCTGCTAGCACAGAGCCTGGGGAGGTCTCAACCTGCAACACCACCTCCTGCACCCAACGGAACCTCCCACTGGAGAGGAACTGCCTGGAGGAGAGCTCCTGTTCCTGGGGTATGAGGGACAGGTGAAATCAAAAGAAACATGAGCAATGCTTCTCTGGTGCAGACAGATGGAGGAATGTCTCAAAATGCTTCCTAGACAGTAGGAATCAAATCCAACACAGAGTAAGCCACATTTCAAAAGCACTCCAAAGAAAATTCAGATGCTATCATTTTATTTTGGGCAGCTTTTCTTCCTCTCATCAGTCAGTGGGACCCTATGCTCCTGCCAAGAAACATGCCAGCCATCTGGCAGTTTTTATTTTTATAGTGATCCAATAACTACAAAGCATGCCAGGCTATTTGTACCATCTGCCACATAAATGTCATTTCATCAAAAGGGTGGTGGACACCTGGGGATCCAGAGTTCAAAAATCCCTTTTAAAGGGGACATCATTGTCTCCCACAGCAAAATAGAGCTTGAGGTTCACGTCTCCCTCTCCCAAGTGACCAATGCAGGAAACAGCTGTAATATTTATGGCTCCTAGACCATTCTCTTAAATTGTTCCCCCCCCTTTTTCTACCTTTTTTCAACTGTGAGGGTAGAAAAATGACTACTATAAAGTTCACGTGTGGATGGGCATTTCCAGTGAAGTAGTAGTGTCGTACGATCTGTGCTAGAAATTGTTCAGGTTTTTAAACACATTTTCCGCATTTCTAAAGCTAGAAATTACTTCATTTTTCATCCTGTTTGTAGCTCTTGTTCCATAATTCAAAAGGGAGGATCAGTCAATACAGCTGAAGATGCTCACCAATGGGCTTAAAAGCAGAGAAGCGTTTATAAAAGAGGAAAGTATTTCAAACCATCTGATCTTGCAGCTGGAGCTCTAGAGACAACCCATAGCATCTTCAGGGA